TAAAGGAGTCCTGGGACCAAAAACTTTGAGAACTACTATTCTAACGCGACCACTGATACTCAGTTCCTCAGTAAAACATGCTTTGCCCGCTTTTTAGATCAATTGTAAGACTGGAATAAACTTAGAAGGATAAATAAAGCACAAGTAATGGGCAAGTAACATTAAAAGTAGCTGAATGAGCTCCCTACAGAGATCCTTGGCATAGAAGGCTAGAGGGGTCACTACCAACAAAAGTCCATAATCTGCCTTCATTTACAGCAAACTAGGACATCTTCCCCTATCAACTTCCTAAAGGGTCAGTATGGGAACAAGCTAGCCGAAAGAACCCAGATCATGCATCTTTGTTCTTTTTTGATCTAATTTATACAGACAAGAGTTTTAGTAATCACAATATATGCAAGAAAGAAATGAACTCCTTTTCTGAACCTAGACTGTTTTAACTATTTGCAACTTACATTCCTCTTTCTCTGGGAAGCTTTGGAGTGCCTGTTATATTCAGATCATTCTAGACATGTCCCTTAGGCAGATCAGCATGTTTCTATCACAGACCCGCCGCCCTGACCACATCTATCAGACTGGGATGAATGTATGAAAGGCAATCATCTAAAGTTTAGGCGGCTGTCTCAGAGATGGCCGGAACTACCGAAAAAGGAGGGAGGTTGCCAGTAACGACAGAACATTTTTTGTAGTTAAAAGCAAAGAACAGCGGCGTCACCAAACCGGCTCACCACTAACAGAGAGCCACAGAAACAAACAATCTGAGGCTGAAGGCATTCATTCAGGGCTCTACTGAATCCTGAATGACAGCCTCACCACCACAACTGTGGGATAGGTGAAATAATTATCTTCCCTCCAAATGAGGGGAGTGGGGGGGAGTTAGGGTGTTGGAGAGTTGACAGGCAGAGTCGCATTAATCCCATTAAGGTAATACACCAGATTCCTTATAACGTGAAAAAAATCTAGCCGCCACACTTAGTTATCAACTTTAAATAAATCCTCCAAACAAAACAAAAATCCGTAAGGTCATTATATAAACTGATGACTGGGAAGGTTATAAGATGGAATGGAAATGCTGCCTTATATTTTGTCTTATCTGTAGATACTGAATCCAAGGCCTTTGTCTCAACAAATTCCCCCAGAAGACCGAAAAGTGGTAAGAAAACTTGTTGAACATCCTCTCAAAACTCATTCTCAAAATTACACAAACTGAAACAGAATGCTAGAACTTGGTCATTAAGTAAAATTCTAGAATTTGAAAAATACACAGGAACATTTCAGTCACTGACATAACATATACTATACAAATAAAATTAGATAAATTCAAATCTAATTTTAAATGAACACTGAGTGACTAAAAAGCTTAAATAAAGATTAATTAAGGATAAGAATTAATTAGCCAGGCATGGTGGCACGCTCCTATAGTCCCAGCTATTGGGGAGGCTGAGGCAGGACTGCCTGAACCTAGGAGTTCGAGGCTGCAGTGAGCCATGATTGTGTACTTCACTCCAGCCTAGGCAACAGAGGAAGACCTCGACTCAAAAAAAAGGATTAATAGTCAAACATTTTATGTTCTTCTCAAGAACTGAAAAGTAGGCTCCATGCCTCCTCACCTTGATAATAAGCAGATGCTCACTTCTCACCTAGTTCTACCTAGCCAGAAACATGCTTGGCTTAGGACTGCTGGAAGAGAAGGAGAGAGAGGAGGTGGGGTGACGACAGTAAAATCTTTAAAGCAGGAATCTTCAAACAAGAGCATAAAACTAGACACATATTTCATTTTACAAACAAGAATATTAATCCTAAAATAGGACTTTCTCCTTTCAGACTTCCTTTCACCCTGAGTTTCTGTCCCTTTTAAAAATATTCAAAACATCATTCTGGAAGACAGTAATTATTTAAATAAACAAAGGGAAAAAGCAAACTAACTCACAAAGCAGAACTTCCTATTCCCCACCTCCCAATATTGTATGTGGCATGCCAAAGTCAAAAAGCCAAGCAGTTCTGGCCAAAGGGAACTCTGCTAAACCTCGGGATTTCTCAGATAAAATTTGAAAGGCAGTTACGCATTTTCATGAAGCATTAAAAAATACATAAATTTCATACTGGTAAATGAGAAGATGGATGTGAATGTTTTAAAATTATACTGCCACCACTTTCCCTTTAACATGAGCCAAATAGTAAAGACTACAAATTAGTTTGAGAGGGGGAAAAAACCCCAGTAGCACTTCTACACTACCAAACCAATCATTTAACAACAGGGTCTAGTGTCTGCAAGTTAAACTTTACACCAGCCATGAAAACCTTAGTAAGTCAATGAGACATTCACTTTTTTCTAAAAACACACAGACAAAAATAGGTATCTCCCCTCCTAATAGCTTTTTTTCCACTGTGAAAGCACCTGGAAACTAAAAACTGGAAGTAGAACAACATATATAAGCTGGACACAATGGTGCACCTGTAGTCCCAGCTACGCCAGAGGCAGAGACGGAGGATAGTTTGAGACCAAGAGTTCATGACCAGCCTGGGAAACACAGCGAGACCTCCCCATCTCAAAAAAATAAAAAAAATAAAAAAATAAAAAAATAAAAATATATATATATGCACACACACACACATATATACCTACACGCACACACACACGTGTGTTTATTTTTTAATCTAATGAGCAGATGTGTGTAATCCTGAACCAAATAAATGAATTTTTAAAAACTGTAATAAGACAATCAAGGAAATTAAAAACTTGACTGGATATTTGCTAATATTTAAGACATCACTGCTAATATTTCTTAGGCTTGATGACGACACCGTAGGGTTCTTTTTTTAAGTTTTTATCTTTCAGATACACCTGATGGACTTTCAGATGAAAAACTACTGAGATTTGCTTTAAGATATCTAGCAGGTGGGTGCCGGGTCTCGGGCTAACAATGGTTGAAGTCAGATAACTGCCACATGAAGACTTATACTCATTTCTGCATTTTGTCCACATGGTTGAAAATTTCAGCGAGGAAAAAAGTATCCCATGCATCAAAGAGTCCTGTCAAAAGTACACAAATCTGTGTTCCACTACACCACCCATAATTCTGCTTATTTTTTCTTATGTATTTTGGTTTGAGTAACGATCAGTTCTTTTCTCCAAACCCATGAACTACCTCCCACCGAACAAAAACTGAACTCCGAGACTGTCCTTGCTGTCTTGCAACCCCGCTCATAAACTAGCCAAGTGCTAGGTGAGGAAGCAATTCGGGATTCCAACTCATAATTAGTAATCTTATTTTCACTTCAAGACCACATACCTGTTTGGAGTCAGACTGGTAAACTAGCACTGGTTTGGTGATTTTCCTTACCCTCGACCTGGCATTTAAACTGGTTGGTGGGTAGCGCACACGGACGAAAAAAGTAACGCATGTTGCTGGCTCCCAGGAAGTAAACGCTTTCCGCGAAGGGAGTAAACAACAACAACAACCACAAAAATCCAATCGAATGGGACACACGGAAATCTTCCGGTAGCCTCTGGGTAATTCCCATATAGCCTTACACTCCCAAAGCCTGTTCGGGAGTTGGAAAGGAGCGACCCTGCTGGGTTCGTGTCGTCTCCTCTCCTCCTCCCTTCTCAGGGGAGGGCCAGAGAGAGGAGAAAAAAAAAAAAAAGAAACCGACCAAAAGGCCGGAAGAAGCGAAAAGCGTAGAGGCTGGACACTCAGCCCTTAAATAAATGAGCTCGGGACCCAAACTAGATCAAGTTAGGAGACAGCGAGCGGCTCGCACCTCCTCAGACCGGCAAGCCCGGCGGCTCGTGCCCAGCCTCGGGCCCCTTCTCGCGCGTATGTTCCCCGGTACAAAAGGCAGACGCCCCTCCCGACCCTCGCGGAGGGCAGCGCCGAAAGGGCAACTCCCACCCGCCCGGGCCACGCCGGCCGGCCCGACGCCTCCCCGCCGGCTGGGAACCTCCGGCTACCGCCCGGCTCCTCAGGCCGGGGAAGGAAGGGGCAGCG